TCCCTCTCCTCTTCTCCCTGCCCTCCCTCTCCTCCTCTCCCTGTCCTCCTTCTCCCTGCCCTCCTCTCCTCCTTTCCCTGCCCTCCCTCTCTTCTCCCTGTCCTCCCTCTTCCTCTCCCTGCCCTCCTCTCCTCCTCTCCCTGCCCTCCCTCTCCTCCTCTCCCTGCCATTCCTCTCTTCCTCTCCCTCCTATTTCTCTAAGAGTGCTCCTGGCAGGCAGTCACACAGACATCCAGGGAGCACTAGGCTGCTGAGAGCCCTAGCGATGGCAGTCACAGAACGTCCCCTCATTTGGCCCCAGATACCACATCGGCTCGCTGCTTTTTTAAAACAGTGACGCAGCAGCCGCTGTGCCTAATTGGCCCCGTGCAACCAGCTCCCTTCTCTGCCCCCTCCAGACCACCTTGAGCTAATAACCTCAGGGATGCACCAGAGGTGCCACAGGGCAGATTCTAGGCTTGGCCTCATGGCCCAGGATGCCCATGGGGGCAAAGTCCTTCACACCTACACACCCTCCAGAGAGTAGGAAGTAAGAAAGCCCAGGGATTTACTGTGTCCCACGAACCTTAGCAGAACCATTCTCCAGGGGTCCAGGTGAGCCCCTCCCTCTCAGAGGAGACCCATGTAGGAAGGCCCACCCCCAGGCCAGAGCTGGGTCCCTTGTTGCAGACTGTGCCCCAACCCCCAGCTCCAGTGGCCAGTTCTCACTGGAGTCAGGAGACAGGAGGTCCCGGTGCCTCCAGGCTTAAGCTGGAGTGCTGGCGTGGCCATGACGCTCGGCACAAGCCTGGCTCTTACCTGGCTCCACACCCTATTCTCTAATCGGGCTCTCTCTCTTGTGTGTGAGTCCACCACTGAGCCCACAAATCTGGCCTCCTTCATCCTTTCCTGTCCTCCTTCCAGGCCCTGAGTGTGGCCTTGGAAGTCTAGGAGAGGTGTGGCCATAGCTACAACTGTTTTTAGGGTGAGCTGGGACTCGAACCCAGGCTTCCCACGGGACCTCAGCTTTTAAAGCAGCAGCATTGACTAGCATGCACGAGTGGGACTGGGCATCTATGAATTCTCACATTACTCTGCTGAGGTAATTCTCAAAGTGTATTTTGTTTTTAATATGAAGTGGGAATGAAAAAGCCTCGTGTATCCCTCCAAGTAGAGATGGGCTGGACAGAAGAGCAATTTCTCAGAGTCCCGGCTACCTGGGCCCCAGAGGGATGCTGAAGAGCAGCCAGCTTATTCTATTAAGGCCCGGGGAATACTTCACACATTTTCATGTGGAAATGCCACGTGCATTCATTTCAGGAAGGCCTCCGTTTATTGTTAGCATTATCGGTTCTACCATTGAGTACTCGTTGGACAGTAAGAGGGTTAGCTGGAATTACTGGACAGAAGAGATAAGCCCTGCTCCCAATCCAGAGGGCTCATGTGTAAGCACATTTACTGCTTCGTCCAAAGCTTCTGGGCGCCTTCCTCTGCCTCCCGCTGAGACCACTTGGTGCGCAGTTAGCGTCTTGGGGATGACCCCGGTGATGGGCCTGTGCATGGGATCTGACAGAGTCTAGCCCTGAGTCTTAAAAGCCTGAAGCTTATGAGCGTGGAGAATCCCTAAGCCGGCTGTCCAGGGCTGGCTGCTTGGTCTGCGCTTTTCCTGCTTTCTCCCTCCAGGTGTGGCGGTTTGAGCTGAGTCCTCTTATCAGTTCCTTTTTCCTGAATAGCTTTCCACTGCCCATGGCGCTCCGAGAGCACATGTAGCAACGAGGACCAGCTAGAAGGCAAGTGAGTCACCTCCCCACTCTGTAAATGAAGATGCTGGGCCCAGACACATGGACCGTCTCAGCCAGGGGCTCTTAACTGCTTTTGTGCCATGGATACTTCTTAGAATAATGCTTTTAAAACACATTAAATGAGATACACAAGGTAACCAAGGAAGGAACCTAAACTGCAATGCACTTGGACTTCTGTGGACCCCAGGTAAAGATCTGTATTTTAATCAAAAACAATGAGATCATCTACCAGGAACTCATAGTCAACTGGAGTGGCTAGAAATTAAGGCACAGTGTGTGTGTCATGACCCCAAACCACAAGCCGGATGTTACTTTTGATGCACCTCAGTCTTCTCAACTATAAGATGGGAACAATATTCCCAGTCTTAGAGAGCTGGAAGGAGTTCCCAGAGATACTCAGTGCAAATTGCACCCCACATAGCTCTCTCAGCAATGAAGATGGCTTTCCTTCTATTTCATAACAAACAAAACTTAGATGTAGAAACTTTAAGGGTTTTGCTTACGATTGCTTGGTGGTTAGAAACAGAAACCAGGCTTGGGACCCTCATATTCTCAAGTCTTAATTCAGGCTGTTTCCCTCCTCCAGGCACAGAAGCAAACACAGGCTTCACTTGATCCTTTCACAGTGGAAAGTCACCCGGGGCTTCTCTCACTGCCCTCTTTGTGTGATCTGCAGCGCCACCTAGTGGAGCTTGGCTGTTGTTTCCTTAACCCCATAAATGTCTCCAACTACTTCAATAACTTACATTTATAAGAAAGTGCATGTTTTACAAGACATAGGAGGGTAATCCTGGAAGACCACTCAGGATAGCAGTAGGAGAAGGTATTGGCCTCTTGTTTTTGATCAGAAGTCAAAGCCCAATCAGGTTAACATGAGGAGGGTCCTTGGGAGGGCAATGGCTGGTCCTCTTACAGAAAACCATGCCGGCGACTTGCTCTTAAGAATTTTCAAATTCCTCGTTAACTATTGTGACTAAATAACAGAAATTATTGAGCCCTCATTATAAATGATAGTTTGTGGAAGAAATAAGTAAATACACTTTTAAAAAATGATAGTGCAGGTTAGATGCTCTGCATTCCCAAATCTAATTCCTCTTGCCTCCTCCCCTCCTAAGGGTCACGCCGCCAAGTGTCAAGGCAGCCAAGGAGGGTCACTGAGTGGTGGCACCACCCAAAAAGCAAATCAACACTCCTCGGTCTTCATATTATCGTCTATGTCAATATATACTTTCCAAATCTTCTAGAATGCCACTAGTCGCTACATATTTTACTTTTGTCATGCATGATCCACAATTATCACTCTTGTTCCTGCACTGGAGATATTCAGCCTGAGCTTCTAAGTTCACTTTGCAATCAATGCCTCTTAGATTTCTAGTGCTTTTTATCTCTGAGCTCTTTAACTGTGAAAATGGAAATGATTTCTTCTGGAAACCTTGACTCTATTCTCGTGATATCGTCTGTAAACTGTTAAATAGTTTTCATACTGATAGGGTCAAAAGGTCCCAGAATTGCATCACTGTACATTTTGCCTTCGCCCCCAAATTTTTCCATCATGACTGAGACTCTATCACTCTCTCTCCTTTTTGGCATCTTTTATGTCTCTGCCCCACAAATAATTTACCATTTCACAGGGAGAAACGGGTTAGAGTTTGTAGGGAGAATAGGATGTTCCAAGCACTGTAACATATTGGGTTGTTGGGAAAGTCACATAGAAAAATATGTCATGACTTCCCCAACAACCAAACCGTTTCCTGTATTTCCTTCAGAGAAAAATGCTGACTTTTTCTCAATTCTGTAGAGTATTTCATAGTCATCGAAATTGGCTTTATAAAGTAGAGTTCTTGGTATTCTACTTTTTCCTTAAAAAAAAAAAATTAAGAGTCTCCTCTGCTTAGAGCATTCACTCAATTGTCCACTCTCACTTTCTTCCTTTTACTCACCATTTACTTCAACCTCACTGGCTGCTGGTTGCTTCCTTCATTTCTCTTCGCTTTTGCCCTTGCTGTTTTCTGAGCCTGATGTGACTTTTCCAACATTGTTCGTTCTACTGAAATTCTAAAAACTCCATGTAGATGACACCCGCTCTGGTTGGGTGTCATCACTTCTTTCTTTTCCTTTCTACAACATGTTCTTTGCTCTTCTATCTAACATTTACTTTATTCTGCCTTATGTCAAAGTCAGTTGTGTAGCTATTTCCCCTCTGTGTTGCAAACTCCTTAAGAGACAGGACTGTGATATCTTCCTAGATCCTCCTCACTCCAGTGTCTAAGCATTCTAGAAGATTCTATGTAATGCTGATTGGGATAAGACGTTAGAGACTCAAAATCTTTTGCCAAATCTCTAAAGAAATTCAAGTAGCAAAAAGTCTAGGAACTTAGGGAAAG